AACTGATGTCTCCAGCCTCAAGGGAACAGTTCGAGACCGAACAGGAAACAGATGAAAGCCTCCAGAGAGCTTGGACGGTGGCACGGAGCAACCCACCGCCTCTCAGCTCTTCTAATCGATCCAGGTTTGTTGTAGAAAGAGGACTTTTATACAAGGAAACTCTTTCTGGTGGACACCAGGAAGACTGGCATCCTCAGAGACAGTTGGTAGTTCCAACTAAATACCGGGCCAAGCTCTTGAGCTTAGCCCACGATCACCCTAGTGGCCATGCTGGGGTGAACAGGACCCCGTTTGGGGGGGGTCATTCCACTGGGAGGGAATGGGCAAGGATGTTTCTACCTATGTCCGGTCTTGTGAAGTATGCCAAAGAGTGGGAAAACCCCAAGACCAGGTCAAAGCCCCTCTCCAGCCACTCCCCATCATTGAAGTTCCCATTTCAGCGAGTAGCTGTGGATATTCTGGGTCCTTTTCTGAAAAAGACACCCAGAGGAAAGCAGTACATACTGACTATCATGGATTTTGCCACCCGATGGCCGGAAGCAGTAGCTCTAAGCAACACCAGGGCTAAAAGTGTGTGCCAGGCACTAGCAGACATTTTTGCCAGGGTAGGTTGGCCCTCTGACATCCTCACAGATGCGGGGACTAATTTCCTGGCAGGAACTATGGAAAATCTTTGGGAAGCTCATGGGGTAAATCACTTGGTTGCCACTCCTTACTACCATCAAACAAATGGCATGGTGGAGAAGTTTAATGGAACTTTGGGGGCCATGATATGTAAATTCGTAAATGAGCACTCCAATGATTGGGACCTAGTGTTGCAGCAGTTTCTCTTTGCCTACAGAGATGTACCACATCCCAGTTTAGGGTTTTCCCTATTTGAACTTGTATAGGGCCGTGAGGTTAAGGGGCCATTACAGTTGGTGAAGCAGCAATGGGAGGGTTTTACACCTTCTCCAGGAACTAACAGTCTGGACTTTGTAACCAACCTACAAAACACCCTCCGAACCTCTTTAGCCCTTGCTAGAGAAAACTTACAGGATGCTCAAAAAGAGCAAAAAGCCTGGTATGATAAATATGCCAGAGCACGTTCCTTCAAAGTAGGAGACCAGGTCATGGTCTTAAAGGCGCTCCAGGCCCATAAAATGGAAGCATCGTGGGAAGGGCCATTCATGGTCCAGGAGCACCTGGGAGCTGTTAATTATCTCATAGCATTCCCCTCCTCCAACCGAAAGCCTAAAGTGTACTATATTAATTCTCTAAAGCCCTTTTATTCCAGAGAATTAAAGGTTTGTAAGTTTACAGCGCAGGGAGGAGACGACGCTGAGTGGCCTGAAGGTATCTACTATGAAGGGAAAAGTGCTGGTGGTGTGGAAGAGGTGAACCTCTCCATGACCCTTGGGCAAATGCAGCAACAGCAGATCAAGGAGCTGTGCACTAGCTACACGCCAATGTTCTCAGCCACCCCAGGACTGACTGAACGGGCATACCACTCCATTGACACAGGTAATGCTCACCCAATTAAAGTCCAACCTTATCGGGTGTCTCCTCAAGGTAAAACTGCTATAGAACGGGAGATCCAGGATATGTTACAGATGGGTGTAATCTGCCCCTCTGGAAGTGCGTGGGCATCTCCAGTGGTTCTAGTTCCCAAACCAGATGGGGAGATACGTTTTTGCATGGACTACCATAAGCTAAATGGTGTAACTCGCCCTGACAACTATCCAATGCCACGCACAGATGAACTATTAGAGAAACTGGGACGGGCCCAGTTCATCTCTACCTTGGACTTAACCAAGGGGTACTGGCAAGTACCGCTAGATGAATCTGCCAAGGAAAGGTCAGCCTTCATCACACATCTCGGGCTGTATGAATTTAATGTACTCCCTTTCGGGCTGCGAAATGCACCCGCCACCTTCCAAAGACTTGTAGATGGTCTCCTAGCGGGATTAGGAGAATATGCAGTTGCCTACCTTGACGATGTGGCCATATTTTCGGATTCCTGGGTAGAACACCTGGAACATCTACAAAAAGTCCTTGAGCGCATACGGGAGGCAGGACTAACTGTTAAGGCTAAGAAGTGTCAAATAGGCCTAAACAGAGTGACTTACCTTGGACACCAGGTGGGTCAAGGAACTATCAGCCCCCTACAGGCCAAAGTGGATGCTATCCAAAAGTGGCTTGTCCCAAAGTCAAAGAAATAGGTTCAATCCTTCTTAGGCTTGGCCGGTTATTACAGATGATTTGTACCACAATACAGCCAAATCACCACCCCACTGACAGACCTAACCAAAAAGAAACAGCCAAATGCCGTTCAGTGGACCGAAGAGTGTCAGAAGGCCTTTAACCAGCTTAAAGCAACACTCATGTCTGACCCTGTACTAAGGGCCCCAGACTTTGACAAACCGTTCCTAGTAACCACAGATGCGTCCGAGCATGGTGTGGGAGCAGTTTTAATGCAGAAAGGACCTGATCAAGAATTCCACCCTGTAGTGTTTCTTAGCAAAAAACTGTCGGAGAGGGAAAGCAACTGGTCAGTCAGTGAAAAAGAATGTTACGCCATTGTCTATGCCCTGGAAAAGCTACGCCCATATGTTTGGGGACGGCGTTTCCACCTGCAAACTGACCATGCTGCGCTACAGTGGCTTCATACCACCATGGGAAATAACAATAAACTTATTCGGTGGAGTTTTGCTCTCCAAGATTTTGATTTCGACATCCAACACATCTCAGGAGCTTCTAACAAAGTGGCTGATGCACTCTCCCGTGAAAGTTTCCCAGAATCAACTGGTTAATATCGTCCTTGAGATGTGGAAAATATTGTTAGTCTTTATGTACTTGGTAGTATATTTAGAGATGCATGTGTCTTATTTACTCTGTTTTTCCTAGAGCTCCAGGAAGAAATTCCAGCCAGCGTTTCACCCTAGCTGAGATTTGGGGGGGCGTGTCATAAATATAAAGGGAAGGGTTAACCCCTTTAAAATCCCTCCTGGCCAGAGGAAAACTCCTCTCACCTGTAAAGGGTTAAGAAGTTAAAGGTAACCCCGCTGGCACCTGACCAAAATGACCAATGAGGAGACAAGATACTTTCAAAAGCTGGGAGGAGGGAGAAAAACAAAGGGTCTGTGTCTGTCTGTATGCTGCTTTTGCCGGGGACAGAACAGGAATGGAGTCTTAGAACTTTTAGTAAGTAATCTAGCTCGGTATGTGTTAGATTATGATTTCTTTAAATGGCTGAGAAAAGAACTGTGCTGAATAGAATGACTATTCCTGTCTGTGTGTCTTTTTTGTAACTTAAAGTTTTGCCTAGAGGGATTCTCTATGTTTTGAATCTAATTACCCTGTAAGGTATCTACCATCCTGATTTTACAGAGGTGATTCCTTTACTTCTATTAAAAGTCTTCTTGTAAGAAAACTGAATGCTTTTTCATTGTTCTAAGATCCAAGGGTTTGGGTCTGTGGTCACCTATGCAAATTGGTGAGGATTTTTACCAAACCTTCCCCAGCAAGTGGGGTGCAAGGGTTGGGAGGATTTTGGGGGCAAAGACGTGTCCAAACCATGTTTCCCAGTAAACCCAGATAAAGTTTGGTGGTGGCAGTGGAAATCCAAGGGTAAAATAATTTTGTACCTTGGGGAAGTTTTAACCTAAGCGGGTAAAAGTAAGCTTAGGAGGTTTTCATGCAGGTCCCCACATCTGTACCCTAGAGTTCAGAGTGGGGAAAGAACCTTGACACGGGTTAACTTGAATTATTTCACAATAAAGCATGTTGCAACCAAACAAGTTTTTGTTTGTGAATCCACTGACACTTTAACCTTTGCTAATACACTCACTTTAGAAGTAGGTTTACTGAGCTGCAGGATGAGTATACCCTCAAGAAAGTAGATATGGCTGCACTGCCACCCTGAAACAACTGTTGTGCATCTGGCAGTCCTCCAACTGTTATTCCACACTGCTTTAAGGTTGTGCTGGATCGGCTAGTCAGTTTATCTGTGTGCCCTCACCACTCTGCGGTCCTCCTGGCCAGATGTCATTTCAATGTTTAAATGTTGGCACAGAGCCAGGTATGGCCTTTGTGATTTCAGCTCATGGCAAGTTCATACACTTGGAGTCAAAGAATTGTTATACAACAGCTGTGCCTTGTCCTTCTTTGTGGTCCTGTGCTGAGGTCCTGGATTTCACTGCCCATTTGGGAGAGGACTGTGTCCAGGCCGATCTTGAATGCACCAAATTGCATAGATCTACTAGTGACTATCTGGACAAATGCATGAGAGGGGACGCTCCTGGGATCTGCAGCAGTGAAACAAAACTGGATTGGCACTCCAGCTAGATTATAAGAATGTTAGGGACAATAATAAGATCTCTAGGGAGTTCACGTGGACTGCAACTACCATGAGGAGCGGGGCCATATATTTGCCAGAGAGACCACCACTGAATCATGGCACATTGCAGACTCCAAATGTCAATCAGCACAGAGAAGATTGATACAGAATACAGGAATTTGTCAATTCATTCAATCTGCTGAAATCTGAGGCAGATGAAGTGTTAGAGACCTGAGATCCTCTCCCACAAACACATGTAGCCATAGGACCAACTTGAACCACTGACTGAGAGTCAACCTGTAAAGGGGATTTCTTCCAGTAAGTATTACATGCCACATTACAATACAACTATACTGGTGGATCGAACAACTCAGTTCTGGGCACCATTAGGATACCACTATGTCGGGCCTCCTTAGCTTTTAATCTCCCTACCTGATGCTCAAAATTTCAGCTATGCCAGAGATTTAAAACACTCTGTACCATTTATTTCTCCAAAAGTGTGCAAACACAACCATTGTTCAAGCTACTCGGTCCAGCCCCACACCCCTTTGCTGCAGTGCGTATTGCTCGTCATTGAAGGCTGCAGCACCACGTGGGTTACAAATGAGAATGATTGAACAAATGGCACATTGTAGCTGCAGATACACAAAAGAAAAGCATGAGAAATATTTTTCTTACTCACTGTGTCATCTGTGTCCTTAGCTTTGAGAAAACTTGAGCTGTTCTGGGAAAAGGAAATATTTTGAAGAAAAAAAAAAAAGGGAAAGTCTCTTGATTACAATACATGCTTATTCCTTAAGATTATGTTCTCTCATATACTCCTGGACTGACGCCTTCTTGGGGGAATGGTTTACATTGGCTGCTCATCAGAGGAACCAGCTCAGTTTGCATACAGCTAACTGGGACGGACCTTGGAATGATCTTATTACCAAAAATGAAGGCTTTGGCAGTACTGCCCCCAAAGACATGAATTAATTTAGTGTCCCCCTAAAAATAGAAGGATGTCTACTCATTTTCATGGACCCCAATAGCCAGACCTTGGCAGCTATGGACAGTGAATAATATGAATTTCCAAGCATACTTATGGGGTTTTGTTTTCAAAGATGCCCTTCAAAAGGAAAAAGAGCTAGAAGCTTACTTTAAAAGATGTTTCTTTACCTTTCTAGGTATTCACAAAACAGGGGATGAGGAGGGCATGTGGCTCCAGGATTCTGGCAATAGTTCCAGTTCTGAACCTACAGCAATGTGGGTAGAGAGGGGTGTCCTAAAATCAGACAATGATTTGTGTGCATTAAAAAATAGTCCCCACACAATGAATGTTTAAAAATTATTTTCTGTTCACCCAAATCCAGATACCAAAGACTCACATAGGACAAAAATATTTGCTTAAAATTCTTTGGTTTTGTTTCTATAATGTTCATATTTCCCTGTTCACCCTCAGTTAAGCTGAAAATGTACAACAACACCTTATGTTCTACCTTGGAATTGTTCAGGTTATTTCCTGGGGTTAGAGAACAGACTTTTTTGCAGAAACAAAATGTGAATCCTTGACTTTCCAGTGTAAAATCCTAAGACACCATTAGCAGTTTTTCCTCAGAACATCAGTACTGAGCTGATGAAAAGGGTCTGATGTCTCTACATTTCCTTTTCAAGATTTCAGGGCTAGGTAGTAAGCCAGAGCGGTATTGATAGACACCGCTTGTCTTTTTAGGACATGCCACGATGAAATAAAAACAACTGGCTCTATGGAATAGAAAATTATTTCTATCTATATACACCACTTATGACTAACACGCTAGATATCCCATACCACTAAGCTGGCTTAAAAGAGTTGCTGTGTTATGGCATCCATGGCAGTGCATGAAAAATCTTTCTTATGATGCATTCTCTCTCCACTGTATCTGTGGTTAAGTCAATTTTATTCAAGCGTATTTAGTGATAAGTGCATGCAGTTTTCTTTCCCTGCTGGGTTTTAACAGCATAACTGTAAAACATGAAGAGACATGCTTCTACGATACATGCAAGTACACACAAATTCTATTAAAAGCAGTAGCTTGTAAATTTATAGTGAGCAAGTAGGTGAACATATTCAGAGTTTCCACCAGAATGAAGATATACATGAACCAACATTAATTCAGAAAACTTAGGAATGAAAATGAGTTGGTATCAAATACTGTAAATTAAACAAAGGAATGAATAAAGTATCTCCATAGCCTTATGAATTAAAATCCATAGAAGCAGTAATGCTTTATTTCCTTTGGACTCCCCCCCCCCCCCCCAGTACTGATATCAGAGTCAATGGATAAGCAACGCTAGTTTTCTTATAGATAAGAAGCACAGGATTGCCTCTTTTTCCACATACTGGGGAAATACACTAGCATAAGCACTGCGTTGGTGTATGTACCCTGATGGTTACCAAATAACTGTGAATTCACACAATGCTACAAAAAGAGCAATGAATTTCTTCATATTTGTAAAACCATTCACTGTAAGGGTAACTGTTTCCCAGACATAGCAAATGAGATTTCTCAAAGATTCCTGTGATGGAACACATGTTTAGAACACATGCTTTAGCAGAACTCTAAAGGCCTAGATATTAGCAAGTTATATGAGAGAGAAATTTTCATCAAGGAAATGATCAAATCCAAGGAAAGTGCATCAAATGCTGTCATAGTCTTCATTTCTTCTGAAGAATCACTTGAGTGTTGGCAAATTCATATTCAATGATATAATGAACTATTTGCCTCTAAGCCACCGTTTGGCCAGAGATACTCTGCACTGAATCTGAGATGAATTCTTCTTTAATATAGAGAGTGGAAAGGTGCGTCACTGCTCTCCAGTGTGTAGAATATGCTAGAACGTACTCATTTTAAGATGAAAAATTCTTTGGAGCAAAGACTGTCTTTCTGTTCTGTGTTTACACAGCACCTAGCACAATGGGGGGACCAGGGCCATGACTTGGGCTCCTAGGTACTACATTAATATAAATAACAGTTTAATCAGTTTACAATGATTATAACCCTCAGGCCTGAATAAAGGATGTGTGTTATTAATGGTGATAATTGACAAATATTTTCATTTAATCAAGTAATTTTGGACTAGATTTCTATGTTATGCTACATTCCTGCAGTTAGCTATCCAGCCTGACATCCATTTGTGTATGTAGATGGACACCAAGCACAGCAATTAAAAAACAAAAAGTATTATCGAAATAGAATCATAGAATATCAGGGTTAGAAGGGACCTCAGGAGGTCATCTAGTCCAACCCCCTGCTCAAAACAGGACCATCCCCCACTAAATCATCCCAGCCAGGGCTTTGTCAAGCCTGATCTTAAAAACCTCTAAGGAAGGAGATTCCACCACCTCCCTTGGTAACGCATTCTAGTGCTTCACCACCCAACTAGTGAAAAAGTTTTTCCTAATATCCAACCTAAACTGCCCCCACTGCAACTTGAGACCATTAGTCCTCATTCTGTCATCTGCTACCACTGAACAGTCTAGATCCATTCTCTTTGGAACCCCCTTTAGGTAGCTGAAAGCAGCTATCAAATCCCTCCTCATTCTTCTCTTCTACAGACTAAACAATCCCAATTCCCTCACCCTCTCCTCATAAGTCATGCGCTCCAGCCCCCTAATCATTTTTATTACCCTTCGCTGGACTCTTTCCAATTTTTCCACATCCTTCTTGTAGTGTGGGGCCCAAAACTGGACACACTACTCCAGATGAGGCCTCACCAATGCCAAATAGAGGGGAATGATCACGTCCCTTGATCTGCTGGCAATGCTCCTACTTATACAGCCCAAAATGCCATTAGCCTTCAGGGCAACAAGGGCACACTGTTGACTCATATCCAGCTTCTCATCCACTGTAACCCCAGGTCCTCTTCTGCAGAACTGCTGCGTAGCCACTCTGTCCCTAGTCTGCAGCAGTGCATGGGATTCTTCTGTCCTAAGTGCAGGACTCTGCACTTGTCCTTGTTGAACCTCATCAGATTTCTTTTGGCCCAATCCTCTAATTTGTCTAGGTCCCTCTGTATCCTATCCCTAGTCTCCGGCGTATCTACCACTCCTCCCAGTTTAGTGTCATCTGCAAACTTGCTGAAGGTGCAATCCACACCATCTTCGAGATCATTAATGAAGAGATTGAACAAAACCGGCCCCAGAACCGACCCTTGGGGCACTCCGCTTGATACCAGCTGCCAACTAGGCATGGAGCCATTGATCACTACCCATTGAGCCTGACGATCTAGACAGCTTTTTATCCACCTTATAGTACATTCATCCAGCCCATACTTCTTTAACTTACTGGCAAGAATACTGTGGGAAATAAGTGGCCTCAAATCAATGGCACAGCAACTATAGTGCTAAAGATCACATATTTATATCCAAATAGCTTATTTTCAATATTCTTCCAGAAGTAGGAAAGATTCTGTTAGGGTTGAAACAAGACCAAAAAAAAAAATCGCACAAATCTAATTATTGTAACTGGCTGCTGCACTCTAGCCTCACTTCAGAATTTCATATATATTTTCTGGAGGACAGGATATTTAGAGTGGGTTAGACTCTTATATAACTAGGGTTGCCAGGTGTCAGGTTTTCAATGGGAATGCCTCCTCAAAAAGGGACCCTGGCGGCTCAGGTCAGCACCGTTCACTGGGCCGTTAAAATGTCCGGTTGGCAGTGCAGTGGGGCTAAGGCAGGCTCCCTGCCTTCCGTTGCTCCATGTGGCTCCCGGAAGCAGCAGCATGTCCCCACTCTGGCTCCTAGGCATAGGGGCAGCCAGGGGGCTCTGCGCATCACCCCTGCCCCAAGCACTGGCTCTGCAGTTCCCATTGGCCGGAAACTGTGGCCAATAGGAGCTGCAGGGGCGGCACCTGAGGATGAGACAGCACGCAGAGCTGCCTGGCCACACCTCTGCATAGAAGCTGGAGGAGGGACATGACCTTGGCTCCGGGAGCTGCTTGAGGTAAGTGCCACCCGGAGCCAGCACCCCTGCACTCCTCCTGGGCCCCAACCCCCTGCCCCAGCCTTGATCCCCCTCCTGCCCTCTGAATCCTTAAGTCCCAGCCCAGGGCACCTTCCTGCACCCCAGCCCCTTCATCCCAATCCCTACTGCAGAGTCCACACCCCCAGCTGGAGTCCTCACCTCCCCCACACACCCTCCTGAGCCAGCCCGGTGAAAATGAGCGAGTGAGTGAGGGTGGAGAGAGCGAACGACGGGGGTGGAGGGGTGGAGTGAGCAGGGGCAGGACCTCAGAGGAGGGGCAGGGCAAGGGTGTTCGGTTTTGTTCAAGTAGAGGGCTGGCAATCCTATGTATAACTCTTTTACCATTGGCTAAGGATCTATGTATAAGCATACATCACAGCTGAAATTGGCATCAAGAAATTTCTTCAGCATTTCGCTCCCTCCCATAGTCTGAAAAGCAGAATAAACTAGTAATGAAAATATACTTATAAAGAGAGAAGCTATTTTTTCTAGCTCACCAACATTACTTGCAGCACAATTTAAGTACAAGTGTTTTTTCACAAATTTCTATGCTTAAGATTTAAAAGTCTGACAGTCATCAAATATATATACTTCATTGGTGGTATATGTCACAATAGCATAAAGGAGACTATCACAATATGGAAGATCATTGAATCAAAGTGCCTGACAGAGCTCCATGGCAACCTTGCATACATAAACCTGCTAAATTACCAAGCTCTGGATTGAATTCCCCAGGAGTATATTCTTTGTTATTATTGTTTTCATTTAGAAACTAATGTGTCAAGGTTCAAAAAATTGAGTTCATAAAAACCAATCAAAGATTAGTTTGTGTTTAAAGATTAGTATGTTTCATACTGGCTCTTCTTTCTAAAAATATTTCAACACCAGACATCAGTTCAGCTAAAACAATGAGTCTGGGTTTGACTGGACTAAAATTTTGACTGGGTTTGGTGGCTAAAATTTAATTTTGTTAACAATGGATAAATGTATTTGTTACCACTTTATATGATTGTGAATGACAACTCACAAGACCTAGAAAACAGAGAAAATACGATATAAGATAGAAAGAGTTTAACTACACTAAACAATGATAAAAGATTATCAAAATTCTTGATCCACTATAAGTTTATTTTTTAAAGTTAATAAAATGTTCTCTTTCCCCAATAAAACTCTGGATGATTAAATATAAAATTATCTACATGATTACAGTAGTGTTTGTAGAGTCATAACACAGAAAAAAATCTTTCAGATTCGGGGCTGGGTATTTTT